CCAAACATGGGGAAAATAACATTTTTCATGGTTAAAAAATGAGGTAAGGTTGGGCTGGAAGATCCCTGGAGTCAGTGAACACCTGATGAGGTCTCTGGGGAAATCAATTTTGATGGTCCTCATCTGTGAAACAGGGAATACATGGACCTCTTATTCCATGGCTGGTTTATTTAGGTTTTTTGCAGCCCAAGTTTCCATCTCCTCTTGTAGCTGCAGTTGCAAGAAATTTGCAATTCACACTATAGACTTCCATTCCCATTTGCAAAAGGGGTGGGAGGGAGGGAGCTAGAAAAACGGCAGGCAGCCCAGCAGCTCTCCCAACGCTGCTCAATCTGCAGTACAGAGCTATACCCTGAACATGGTAACACTTTCCCCCATCTAGCAAAACAGCCTTCAGACCTTGCTACAGCCCTTGCTCTGTCTAATAGTATTTGTGTAACTAAGTTGTTTGAAATCCAGGATACTGCTCCCTTGAGAGCCTTGACTACTTAAGCATCTCAAGATCTGGTCCTTTGTGCATACAAATGGATCCATTATTGCATCCTCATTAATAGTCTGAGATTAGAGCAGCACAAAACCCTATATGCACAATTTCCTTTCTCCTAACAGCCAAGGGAAATATCCTCCCAGGCTGTTTTTCAACTGCCAGCTTTCTGACTGCAGAGTTTGGGCACTTTCCCATTGCTGCTAGCAGAAAGCAGCTCTGGGGGTGAGGATATTTGTCAGAGGAGGTGTCCTTCCAGCAGGATAATAAACTGCTCTGCCATCTGCTTTATAGGGATTATTCTGGTGGATGTTAGAGATCCCTTAAAAACATTTTTACCACCCTGCACTCCTTAACATTGCTTCCCTTGCACTAGCATTCCTATCACCTCTCTTCAGCTTTTGAGTGGGAAAGATTTCCCCTTTTTCACATGAAAACCCAGAAAGAATATGTGGATTTCAACTCCTAACAGTGGCTCTCTCTCCACTACATACAGATGTTCACCCACAGCTGCATTCAGCCCTGGCTCCCACAAAATAATCCTCTTCTAGTTCCTAGAAACTCGTTCATTATAGCAAGACTCAACATGTAGAAAAACATCTCTCCATAGCTGACCTGCTCACTGATCTGCACTTAGAGACTGATCTGACAGCACTTGGCTATCCAGAAACATCAGGATTCCTTCCACACTATCATTTTTTTAATCAGGCTGCTTACAAGAAATCACCCCCTCTCCTTTGGGCTCTGCTACCCTTTAACAAACAGTTAATTACCCAAGTTTTCCCAGCACCTCCCTTATATGCATTTTCACAGGTGCAGGTCCTTAGCAGTTCTTCTTAAAGGTCTCTTCTGCTCCTTATCCTTCTCTTAATGTAGGTAGGGATTTTGCTGTGGCTGTGTGCAGTGTTGTGAGCTACTATTTTAAGTTGTAGAGCCTTAATTCCTGGGTGAGTGCGCAGCATTTGAATTGACTAAAGAGCTAATGGGGGCAAGCAAGCTGTGTGGTGAGTAGTGTGTATTAAAGCCTTGATGCAGGCCAAATTATAGCATGAGAGACAGGGGCCTAAATGAAGGTTGTGTGCTCACTAGGGTCAGGATAATTGCTGAGATGGGCTGTTTGGTGGGGAAATAAGGTTAACATAAATACTGAAGCAGCATTTAAAGGAAAGAAAGTCACAAGCTGGAAAGGGAAGTGTATTTCTCCTTACTTCTCATTTGTCTCCTATGCTTTGTTTATGGAGGGTAGACCTTAACACCCCCTTAAGAGTGTTACTTTAGAGAGGCTTTCCTATTTCTTTCTCCCTCCTCCTGTTCTTTTTGCCTTTGGGAACTTGTGTTTGTCTTGTGTTTAAACATTGCTTGCAAGTTGTGAAGGACCAGCTATAAGATTTAAAGGACCTAAGGCTGTAATAGGTTCAATATGATGTGTATATTTTTCTCAGGCTCTCATGAATCACTATGAAGTAAAATTATTAGCCATCTATGCCGTTAATCCTTACAAGATGTCATGTTTTCTCATCTAAATGCTAAATGAGGCTGCTGATATGAGTAAGTGCATCTCAGCTTGAGTGAAAGGGTGTTAAAGGATCAGATCTAGAGTGAATCAGCTGTGCATATGTAGTATTAAAAAAAAGGCAAGTAGGGTGAAATGTTTAACTGAAGGATTTAAGAGTGCTAATCTGGAGCCTTCTTTTGGGTGCTTGATCCTCATGATCACTGCCCCTTCTCATAGGGGCACCCCACAAATGTCCTTCCTGCAGAGTGAATGGTAACCAAAAGCTGTTATTTGTCAAGACTTGCTTTCAGTGTGGCATATTCTCCCTGACATGGAAGATCTGGATGTCCCAGGTCTATGAGGCTCATCAGATGATTCTGTTGTTTCCTCTGATGGTTATGATGCCTTGCGGTAGAAATAATCTTGGTGAATCAATGCAAGAGCACAGATGCTTAGAGACCTTCTCTAAGTTTGCTATTCTGTAGTTCTGCTACTGCAGAAGATAACCCAGCCTCTAGCCTTAGCATCTTGGAGAAGGAAAGGTTTTCTAGTGGTTGGTCTTCTAGAACATACTTTTTATCTTTTGAAAAGTCTAAGACCTATGGGTGGCTTACGGTTTTTGAGATCTGTTGCTTAATCATTATTATTATCATATCCTAAGGTTGGTTTTTAATTTGTTTTTGCAGCAACTAGAGCAGGATAAGAAGAGTGAGGTCACTGCATTTTCTGGTCTGTTATTTGAAGTCATTTTGAAACATAACCTGCCAATAAATGATACTTGAAGACTTCCAAAACAAGGGCTAATGTTCCTTGGTACACATTGTTCTTTTTCAAACCTTTCTCCTACTTTTCAAAAGAATATTTCTCTGTGGGGCTACATTTTTATTGCCTTAGAGAACACAATGTTTGCTCATGGTACAAATCATTGTGCAATTAAGAAAGCTACCTCAGAAAATGGAGCTTAAGATTCAAAAATCTTTGAATTGTACAAGTTTTTAAGGCAGAGGTGTTCTTTTAACCATTAATGGTAACATTCCAGCATCAAAACAATATCTGTAAAAACTATTTTGATTCTGATGGCTGACAAATGTTTTAACTCCTTTGTATGTTAATACTTTGTCCTTCATTCAAATGTTCCCCTTTGTTATAGAGTCTCTTGATCTCATCAGTTCTTTTATGCATTGATTTCTTTTTTCAGTCCTTGAAAAATTACTTGCTGCCTCTTTAACTTCATGCAAAATGTATTGCGTGATTCAGCAAAAGGAAGGGGAACAGGAAATGCATTGAATGCAGTAATAAATGGCAGAGTGGTCAGTGTGAAAGAAGATGCTCTGTCAGGACCTGCAGTGGCAATATCATAATTATGTTCTGTGAATTTATACACAGCCAAACAGAAATGCAGAAGAGCAGGTTTTTTTGAAGCTTCTTGGAGAAGGTCCCCTGAACGGTTTGGACCAGGTAGGACTGTAACTCCAGCAGGCAGAGGTTTCTTTTATCCAGGACTTTTTGGTTGCCATGAAGTTTGCAACGTTTGCAGAAGGAGCAATGCCCCTCTAAGCTTTTCGTGAGAGTGCTTCTACTGAATTTTTCATCTGAAGCAATTTTAGCTGTATGACTTTTTTTTTACTGTACACCACGGAGTTGACATCCCAAAGCATGCTATTACCTAGCAGTTATTGAGAGCATTAATTTCCATGCCAGCATGCATGTGTACGCATCTGTGTATGCTCCTGTAGGTCACTCCACTGTATAGATAAGAAGGCCCACATGTAAATATATGTGTGCTTACCCAGCTTGTTTCACAGCTTATTTACACTTTATTACACTTTATTTATGCAACTAGCTTAATATTTAAAGTGAAGTGTATGTTTTTGTGTATGCCCACTCTATATTGGCTTTTCTGGCATGACTCTACTTGGTTTTCCACACAAGTCTTTCCAAACCCTTGTCAACAGCTATGTGCAGCAGCAACTGCAGCAGAGCACTGGTGAGCCAGCTGGGCTCCCATTGAAAAATAATGGAAGTCGGGGTCCAAAATGAGAATGTGTTTGGATGAGACTTGGCTTCCCAAGGTTTTCCCTGCAGAGAGCAGTGGTTCCATATTATTTTTTTATTCTTTCTGAAAATCATCCTGCACTGATGGAAGAACAATGTTTAGAATTGACTTTGGGTGACTTTATTTTGGCAGGCTCGCAATGTCAGCTCTGCATCTGTTGCATAGACAGGGAGACCCTGGTGGGGGAAAAACCCTCCATTAAATAAAAATAACTTGGGGATCTAGATGAAAAGCAACTCCAAGCCCTTATTGTGTCATTATGATATCAGCCAGTCACCACTAACAAGGATGAGTGCATCTGAAGTAGACAGAAATACCTGTAGTACCTGAAAGCTCTGTTCAAGCAGCCTTACTTGGTATTGTTCTGTTCTGTCAGAATCAGCATCCTATGTGGGAGATGAGATTTCCAGGGATGACAGTCTGGGACGACCAGACATTATTTTAGATGCTACTTTTGGTTTCTGCTTTGATTACTTGGTGATTTTTAATGCCCTTCAGCACCCTGAGGCTTTTGGTTTTCCCAGCTGCAAAAATGTTCCCCAAATACTGTATTGCCGTATTTTTTGAGAAGGAAAAGTATGTTTTCAGAATGCTAGGCATTAAACTCAACTTTAACACTTATTGCTGCTGTTTCTCCTTTCTCAGAACGTGACCTTCACTACCAGGATGAATCGGGAAAAATCTGCTAAATCCTCCTAGCTCCCTGGCTGTGCTGCTTGCTGTTCCCTCACTGTTTACCAGTCAGTAGCCTCACCTCTTCCCACCTAAAGGAAGGAAGAAGCAGCCAGGAAGTCACAAATGACAGCTGAAAAGTGAAACATCAAAAGCTGTGTGAGACACTCCCAAAGAGAAAAGAGATACAGTACTTCCCCTTTGAGCCTGGGAAACTGTATGACATCAATTCCAAAGAACAGAGAGAAGATATGTTCAAGTAACCAATACCAGAAATTGCACAAATTCATACACATACATTAGAGGATCTACACCCTGATCTACAGCATTTAGAAATCTGCATTCAGAATGGATGATGGATACAGAAATACAAACCTCTATCAAGGGGGCAGGGAGGCAAACCAAGTTTCGGATGACTATAGGTACCAGGATGGTAACTACGAAGGGTATGTACACAATGATGGCTACTACCATGGTGGGGATGAACCTCATCATGAAGAAGATGCCCAGAGTGATGTTACAGAAGGCCATGATGAAGATGATGAGGTCTATGAGGGGGAGTACCAGGGAATCCCACACCCAGATGACATTAAAGCCAAGCAGAAGAGAACCCCTGCAGCAGCTGATGACTACAGAGACCATGCTGACCTCATGGCAGAGAGGATGGAGGATGAGGAGCAGCTTGCCCACCAATATGAGAACATCATTGAGGAGTGTGGCCACGGACGCTTCCAGTGGACACTTTTCTTTGTCTTAGGGCTGGCGCTGATGGCAGATGGAGTGGAGGTGTTTGTGGTTGGATTTGTTCTGCCCAGCGCAGAGAAGGATATGTGCTTATCCAGTTCAAACAAGGGGATGCTCGGTAAGTGCTGCTTGCAAGCAGTTGTCCTTACATAGGAGGGAGTACCTAAAATATCTTACTCTAGTGGCTGGCTGATTTCAGAATCTTCTGGTGACCGCTCTTTTGTTTTGTGTGTCATACATAGCCAAGACTGGGTGGATCTGATTCAAGAAGGATGTTGAGAAGGCAGCTACTCAAAGCAAAAGACTCACACCACACCTCAACTCACCTTCTGAAACTGTTATGGCTCCAGCACTGGTAGCTGCAAGCAGAATCTAAATGAATTGGGCCATTTGTAGACAGCAATCCCACAAGGCAAATTTTAGGGGTGTCAGATGTATGTGGAAGGTTAAAGGTGGGATTTCCTACCCAAACATCTAGTGACTAGAATTTCAATTCTTTTAGAAACTAACTTAATGAGAGGTCCAACAACAGTACTGTTCAAGTATGAAAGGTAGAACAGCTAAAGGTCTGCTTGCTCTGGATCATGTGGCTGTTATACTGTAGCTGCCAGTGCTTCCCTGTTCTCCAGAGTTTTTCACTTTGTCTAGACTTCTCTTTTCTTTAGTCCAAAGACCAAATCAGCAGATCAGCTGTGCAGCCAGTTTCTTTTGCATACTGAATTCTCAGCCAGAGGTATTTGCTAATGTGTGCTGGGTCAGAAATGGCCTAGGGAGATTTCTTAGGTCTGTGGAATGAAATTGATGTTTTGCATGAGTACTCAAGGGCCAGGTTACCCCCAGCATCCACTTTGCATCGCTGTTGACACCTTCCTGTGGTCAAAATACAAAGGATTAGTTATTGTGGCTGAGACTGGGTGGGACGGTTTGGAGGAACGATTTTTTTTTCCCTTAGCACATTATAAACTAAATATGGTATGAAGTCTCCCAGAGATCTAAGAATCAGGAAGGCATCCAGCATGTCTCATAGTGACAGCAAGCCACGCAACTGCGCAGTGCATCTGGAAAGCAAACAAAGTAGCTCTTGGAAGAACATTAAAGGAGGGTAATAGTGTGTTTGGATGGATGTGCACAAGGTTCATAGGGAAATCATCAGTAGTTGATGCATTCTGGCCTAGAAGCCCTGCTTGACTCAAAATAAATGCAGGTTTTGGATTAGGTGTTGGGCCTCAGCTCAATTTGATTTGGATTACTTTCTTGTGGCATAGACAATAATTGCCCTTACATAGCACTCTCCCCTTGGTGTACCTAAGGCACTACTCTTCTATACCTTCTCTGAGTATGAAGATCAGGGTGCTTATTTACAGTTTGGTTCATTTTTTATCAAATTTTGTGCCATAAAGGATTTGGTAATATGTTTGCTTTTAAAAAAAACTCTTAAGATTCCCAACTTGATAGAGCTCAGGTCTGAGATTTTTTTTTTTTTTTTTTTAATGTGAATTGCTCACGTTTGGATTCTGGTTTAAAGAGACTTTGAATTCTGGAATTCACCATCTCCCTATGGGGTACCTGGTTGGGTGCCTCTTCAGTGACAAAGCATTTAAAAAAAAAATAGATCATTTATTTTAATGATTAAATGAAAGAAAAGGTTGTTTGAAACTCTGACCCCATGTATTTTTACCTCTGTAGAAATTCTATCTCTGTTTCTAGTATGCACTAGAATCCAGAAACTTCAAATGTCACAAGAAAATCTATCTTTGAGGTATTTCTAGCTCAATCACAGGTAAAAAAAGAACAAGAAATCTCATGAGAACTCATTCTCTTGCCATTTCCAGCTCACTATTTGCAGTGCTTAAAGTTCAGAGTTTTTCAATAACCTCTGGATAAGTAAGGAGACATTTGGGTCTATCCCACTCCAGCTCTAGCCTACTGCATGCTAACAGATCTAATCTTGAATTCTTAATTTAGGGATCAGCATTCTTGCTACCTTTTCTGCCTGCTTTTAACAAACCCTTTTGAGAACCTGGTTTTGCAGAACAGGTTCCTCTTTTCTTGGCCTAGTTGGTTTTGGGGATCTGCTCTTGGAGCTTGCTTGCATGCCATCTTGTGGCTTTAATTAAAAAATATATATATAATATTCTGAAAAATAAAAGTTGATTCTCATCAGATTGAAAGAGATTTGAAAGACAGAATGGAAATTGGATATTTGGGGTAATACTCTTTGTACTGTATCAGAGGTAGGGCTCTGATGCAGTTTGAAGATACCTGTTCTGCTGCTGGATATTTCTCTGCTGTAGCAGGTTAAACACATGTAGGAGGCTTCCTTTTCGATCCGAGGTCTGTGAGATGATCCTTTGTGAAAAGGGATTAAGAATGGCTTAGGAAGCATTGGATTGCAGAGTAGTGCATTGATATGAATAATGAATACTCAAGGGCACCAAGAAGTGTGCTGCCTGGAGAGGCTGTGAGGAGGCTGGTGTTCACATGGAGCTACTGGGGGAAAGTGGATTTCTGGGTCTGAACCAGAGGAAAGCAGTTTTCTGCTGTGCTAACAGCAGGGCAGCCTCGGAGAAGAGAGTGTGGGTGGTTTGACAAACAGCAGGTTGCAGCACACAGGAGGATCGTTGTAAGATGAACCTCCAGCACAGCCTGGTGCCCCATGTACTGCATCCTGCAAGAGGGTTTCTTCCCTCTGAGCAGCTTTGGGTGCTCTGCGTGATAAGGACAGTCACATATCAGCTACTGGAGAGGGAGGCTGGGAAAATGCTATTGATGGAAACAAGAACATAATCTTCCTCAAAACCTTTCCTGGATTAGCATCAGCGCCCATGCACTAGAAATATATCTCATAGCACAGCACAGAGCCTCTACCATATGCTCGTCCCCCTGGGCTTTCCATTTCCTTGGTTTCTATAGACCTGTGCTATTGCAAATTAATCTTGTTAATATGTAAGGTTCAATGAAACTTATAGGCTGATTTGTCAAAATAATGGGCAGCAATCAGAGCTCTCTGCCTCAATCTGTGCCTCGTGCAGTGTTGATCTTGCAAGAGAGCATCTGCATGGAGTGAATGGCAGGTTGGGTAGAGGGTAAAGCTTTTTCCCCACATTATCATTGGGGAGCATGGGATCAGTATTCATACAGGAGTTATGGTCTCCTACCTTACTGCCATGTACCAACAGATTTTGGCAGAGGAGCTCATCTTAATTCTCAGGTGACTGCTCATCTCTTTGCCTTTTTGCTAAGGGAACATAATCAGGTTATCTCAGAGGTAGCTGGGCTGCCTCTGAGCAGCTGCTGATCTTTAAATACATAAGAATGTCTCAGATGTAACAAGTGATACTGGGAAGGAACAAATAGGAGATAAATCAGGTAAGTGATCAAATTCTCCCAGAATCAAGAACAGACAAATAAGAGCTAAAATAGATGCCCCCTAAAGACCAGTTTGGAGAAGTTTGGCTTTTAGTAAAAGGACATTTTGCATTAAGTACTCTGTCTATTGCACATTTTTCTTCCCTTTGAAAGCAGGAGTAGAAAAATATCAAGCAAATTATGGCCCAATTATGCAAAAATTACAAATAGATGCCTACAGTGCTTCATGAAATGTGTGAAATGAATGTGACACATCTTAGAAAACGTTTACATTTTTATTCTGAAAATAAACCTCTCGTCTCATGCAAATTACCAGCTATTTTAGCCCTAGCTATCCCTAGTGGGACAAGACACATTCTGAGTTTGTGATGTGAATGCTACTTTAAAGAAAAGCTCAGGAAAGGAAAACAAAAACAAAAAACAAGCAAACAAAACCCACTGTTTATATTTTAGCACTTTGATTTTATTGACTTTTTTTTTAGTGCTAGTTGCTAAGAATAGTCTTGTTAACTTGTAAAAAGTTTATTTGCATGTCTATACTCATTTTCAGGCAATAGATCTGCTTTTGCTGAGCTTTTTCCAGTGATGACAATAAGGCATTTATTAAATGTATTAAAATGACATATTCTTTTTTGGTTTGTCAAGGATAATCAAATGAGGAATCATAAATATTATATTCACTTATGTACTGAAAACATACAAGGTTATATGTATACATACATCTTTAAATGCTATCAGTTGCCTCTCGGGAGACTCAATGCTATATTTACAAGCACAGAGCAGTAAGTACATGGCTCATATAAAAGGCAGTGCTGTAATCATGTCTTAAACTTTTTAAAACCCTGCATGTAAAACCTGAAGGCACAGTTAAAACATCAGACTTTCCAGATTGCCAGAGATGTGCATCTTTTACTACCGTTTCATAGCCCAGCAGACTGAGGCAAGCGAAATTTAAACACTTTGTCCATGACTGCAAAGCAGCCACATGAATCTGAGAATAAAATCTAAGTCTTGGGCATGCAGGTCCCTTTCTCTTTATGATTTAGTAATAAGATTTTAAGGAGAATATCATCTAACAGACTCTTGTGTTCAGAAAGTTAGCTCGATTTTTTTTTCTGTTTTAAAAAAAGAGAAAATACTATTAATAATTACACAGTTATGGCAAAACTCAAGCTTGGGCCCATGACTTGGGTTAAATAGGATGTGCAGAAACATCCTTGCTCTTCTGTGAAGAGGCTGTTTCATTACCAGCCCTGATAAAATCTAGCCTCAGTTTCTCATTGACCCAAATTTGCCTGATATTACAGTAAATCCTAATTCCCTCAGCAAAGCTCAGTAGCTTTTCTCCACTTTTTTTTTTTCCTTTCTGGGCTCCCAAGCATTTATTCAATCAGCTCCCTCCCACTGCCATAGCAAGCTGCTCTTGGCAGAAATGCTGCTGTGAGAAGAGACGTCATCCTGAGCAGTGACAGTGGCATGTGTTGGATGTTAGGAAGAAAAAAGGTACTTTTGTGACTTGGGGACACCTGGAGATGGAAAAAGTGCTGGGCAGGTCCCATTTGGGGATGGTTGAGTCCTCCTTTGTAGGCACAGCTCAGGGGCTGGGTGTAGGGCAATGGGATGGTCCTATGAATGTTGTACTTACGGACAAGTCCTGTGGTGGGGAGTGTGAAACAACCTGAGCATAAACACCCACCCACACTATCCTGGCAGGGCTCCTGCAAGTCCTTGGCATGCATTTCCAGTGCGACATCAAAGACCTTGCAGCTTCACACATCCACCATGGCTCAAATGTGCAGAATTCCCTTGAATTTGCCTGGTATCTGCCCCTAACTTCTGGAAGTAAAGCCTTGTTTTGGTTGCATGACATGCTGCTTGGTGTTAGGGCTATTAGCAGTAGGTGAAACATCTCTGCTTGTATTTAATCAGCATAGCAAGTGCAAACTCTTTCATTTCATTTCCATTTGTGAGGTCAGTGAGGCTCATGGGTAATGCACTAATAAGCTTACGAGCAAAATAGAAAGAATTTCAAGAAGGGGGGAAAAAGCTACTCATCCCTCAACTAATCCTCTGCTGAGGCCATTTCTTGCTCTGGGAAATGCTGACTGCTGGAGAAGGAATCTCTCAGGGCTAGTGGATTTTATTGCTTTCCATTCAAATCACTCGCCTGTGTTTTGATCCTGTGCCTTGCCTCATCCATCTTGAGCAGTGCAGACCTAACCTGTAAAATTTTGTTTGTACCTATGAAGGGTATTATATGACAGATGCTGCTTGAGCAAAGTTGTCTGGATTTGGCTTGCATTAAAATAGGACGTGCAGGACAGATGAGGGTCATAAGCTGTTTGAGTTGTCAGGATGCTTCATCTTCCATCAAAAGCTTTCTTTGCATGTCCCGTTAGCATCCTGTGCATTGAGAGCAGGTAAGAGCATCCGTACTTCTGTTGTCACTGGCCCTGGGTAAACCTGTGAACAGAGGCGAGATGCTCCTGTACCTGACAACGTGCATCCTTGACAATGCAAAGCACTAGGATTAATTCTTTCCATTGGGCTATTTCTTCTGCTTGACTTTTCCCCCTTATTCCCAGATTCCCCTTCATGACTTGAAAGAGACTATTTTCAGATGTGCCTAAATTTAAAGAACTTTAATCCCACTGACTGTCAACAAAATGATTTATACTTGTAATGGAGATCTGGATCAATCATGCATTTTTCTTTTTCATGTTTGAAGCCCTTAGGAGTCACTTCTAATTACATAAGATGTTTTAGCACGTGCATAGCCGTGTACTGTAACTGTCTCCATTTCTAAAACTTCAGATTTTAAATTCACAATTCCTGCCTAACACAAGCTGCACAGTTTCAATGAAGGCTAATGAATTTCTTAATATGAAAATATTTTGTTACCTCTTTTCTGGTGGGAATAAGCCTAGTGGCTACATATTTTCCTTATAACTTCAGCATTGGATGAGTCATAACCATAAATTTACTAGAATTTCAGCTCTTTGGTTTTCCATGAATTTTATGCAAGGCTGTTGAAGACTTTCCACAAGCATTCATTGTACTACGTTATATTCAGCCTTTTCTACTGTAATGGCTTATGTGAAGCTGCCCTTGGTATTTCAGCTATTCTGCTGCATGTATTGATCTGTTCCTAGTACAGACTAAGTTTGCCTGAATAACTGTGAAGTCTGAAGCCAAGTTTCTGTTTTGAATCCTTGTAATGTTTTTCCCTCAGGCTCTTAAACCCTTTCTAAGAATGGCTGGTGTTTTCCAGATTACTGTGCCCAAGGATCAGCCCAAGATCCTTGATGGATCTGTTAGCCCTATTTCACTCTTCATGATCCATGCATCAGTGTGGTCTTTGAGTACTAATCTCTCTGTGTTCCAAACAGGGGTAAATGATTTTACTTTCTGCTCTGTTCTGGGGCCTGGAAATCAGAATCATGCACCAAGAGGTTTGATTTCAAACTCTTTGTCAAACCAGTGATTTCAATAATTTTTAGGCATATCTTCTGCCTGGACTTTGGAAGTTCTGGAAGCTCTGGAAAGCACAGACAACTGGTCTGATAAGCAGATTCAGTGCAGAAACATACAGCTATACTGGGAAGTTGGTACCCTTGTTTCTTTGGTCAGTGCAGGCCAAGTCCCATGTTAAATAAGAAAAACAGCATGTCAGTGCAAGAAATGAATTACCAGTGTTGTGGGCATTGCTGAGTGTAATGACTGAATGCCTTTGCTGACAGAAGGGACTGGAACACTGAAATGGCCGAGTCAGGTGCACCGTGACCAAAAGGAGTTATCCATACCTCATCCGCCTGTGTGGGGCGTCCACTCTTCCCCTTCAGCTGTGAACCAGCTGGGGCCATCCTTGGCTGGACATCAGTTTGCTGACAGCAAAAGGTACTCAGATATAGTACATCATGGGCTAGAACCCAGCAGCAACCTTCTCTTCCTCCTAAACTAGGAGGTTTTCTGGTACTAAGAGGCTTTGGATGAACACCCGTCATCCAGGGATTTTCTCTGGAGGGGAGAGAAAAGGAAAAAAAAAATCTTCTCCCTAATTCATTTTTCATCTGTGTTTGGCAGTGTGGGCTGAGCTGTGCTGAGAACCACTCGTCTGTGTGGCAGGGATCACCTGCAGAATAGGTGCCTGTAAAGCACTAGTGATAGAAACAGGCTGCATCATCACTTGTCTGCTGGCTGGGTTCAGGGCTGCTCCATTAGTTGTGGCTCAAGAGCCAAGCTAAAAGCTCCCAACCCTCTTTTAAGATTTTCTTTAAGATTTTGGGTTAGCATGTTTGTGTTTTTCCCTAGGCTCTCCCTTCTCCTCTCAAGTACTGATTTGCACTTTATGCTATCATATTTTAAATGCTTAATATCTGCTCCTGCAGTCTTTTCATACCATAAGTCCCGAAGGCTTCAACAGGAATTTTGCCAGTAAAAGGACCAAAGCTTGTGGGTCTTTCTGGTAATCTTGTTCACTGAAGTCTTTCAATCTTGACAGTTAATTAAATAAATGAAAAACAAAATCCCTGGAGATAGGAAAGTAATTAATTAGTTCTATTCACACTACTACCCCTAGAAGAGAAAAGGCAATATAATAGGTGCCCTGCTGGTGGTAGTCTGGGTAGAATAGCCAAAGACACCATGCCTTGTGTCCAGGACTGCAAGCACATATGCAGCTATATACAGAAAGCATACTTGAGAACCATTCTCTTCTGTTCAACCTACCATTAAATGTATTAATGTGTTCAGTGAAACTGTCTTTTGAAGACCCCATGGTGAAAGAGCTAGTGAAATCACGTAAGAAAATGTTATGTTTTTTTTTTCTTTTAGCAATGTCAAGCTGATTAATCTATAGTTCAAACCATCAAGACAAGCAGTGGACTTTCCCTTTCCCTGATTTTTTCCATTCAAGGCTTTACTATTTTCTGTAATTTGTCCTTTAGTTAGACATTAGATCTTGTCTCAGTAACAGAGTAAGTGTCTGTATGACATAGGTCAGGCTGAGTTTATATCCTGATCCTTCTGGGTAATGCTATGAAAAGTGGAAAGTGAAAGAGATGATAAGCTCTGAAGGAAACATGAGTAGAACAGGCAACCTGCAAAGAGATTTATCAATATAGTCTTTCTCCTTTCATAGTTTTCTGAGTGTAAATAGCAACCAGAGAGAGCCTCCTCTCTCCATACTCTGCCCCTTTGTGCTCAGCGGGGTGAGTGGAGTTAAGACACCAGGCTTCTGTTCTGTAGTTGGTGGCACATAGCTGGGACACGTGCGTGCTAAGCTGCTTATGCCTGGCCATTGCTTACGTGCATGGGATATGTGAGCAGTGAGGCTGGGGAAGACGTGGGTCTGGCTGAACATGGATATGTCTCTACTGCACAGTGCAATGCAGCAGGTAGTGATCCCAGCTAATGGGCAGCAGTTAAGTTCTACCAGTGAACAGAGTTTTTGGTACCTGCAATGGTTCATTATGGGTGAATGGAGATAATTCTGCTTCTGTGTGCAATGTGTGGTGCACAGGAAGCCTTTTAGTCTCTTTAAAGTGTCTACCTTGTGTTCAGAACAGGCTATGTCCAGTCCCAAGGTACAAAACTGAGAAGGATTGAATAACCAGTTACTAGAGTTCTAGATTTTAGAACGGCTTCTATTTTGTTTGGATAATTAAGGAATATTAATGATTATCGTTTGGACAGTAACAGTGTCTCCTGAGGTCACTTAGAAAATGCAAAGAGCTTTTTAGATATGCCTGAAAGTAGCTCTCTTTAAATTTGTGCAGTGCTTTTGAAATGCTTTGACTCACAGCTCTGGGGAAAGCGAGAAGTTGTGAGAAGCATAGGCGAATCATATCTGTTCCTACATCCTACATGCTGGTTCATAACAAAATGGGCTCTCACTGAAATGGTTAGGATATGTGTAAGGTGCAGATGGGCCCTTGGTGGTATCTCCATCTCCATTTTCCTCTGTTAGGAAGGTCGTGGGCAGTAGTTGTCTGTAATTTGGAGAAGTGGCTGATGTTGCCTGTGCATGGGCAGACCATTTGCACCTGGCAAATGGGGGAGTGGTTGCTGCTGAACTCACTGTATCTCTCTTTCTCTCTCTCTTCTAGGCCTGATAGTCTACCTGGGAATGATGGTGGGGGCTGTCGTATTGGGTGGCCTAGCTGATAAACTGGGAAGGAAGAAATGCCTCATCATATCACTTGCAATCAATGCTGCCTTCGCGTTCCTTTCCTCCTTCGTCCAGGGATATGGATTCTTTCTCTTCTGCCGCCTTATCTCTGGCCTCGGGTGGGTAACTCTGGCTAGTCTATGAACCAGGCACTTCCCCTTTTCCATGAAGGTCCTATCACTGATCAGCTGGAGCTGTGCAAAGTTTGGGTTTGTGGGATGTGAAAAGGAAGGATTGGCTGGACTGCTTGGGAGGTATCTCAGCCATGGAGCTGGGACAGTCCAGTTCTTTGTCTAGCATGGCTGAGGTGCCTTGGTCATGTCAATGAAAGCATTACCAATAAGGAAATTGGGTCATTGAACTACCCAAATTGTGGGTGAAGGCTAGGGAGACTGATAAATGTCTACTTCAGTTTTTTTATTTAATCTCCAGGGCCTCCAATGAGCCCTTGTTGTAGCCATTGCTTAGCTGGTTTTGACCTCTCTAAAATGACAACTTGCCAAAGAACAGCAGAAGAGATATCTACAAGAAGAACAGGGCGTTATGCTGCCTTTGTATAAACTGTGTGATAAAATCAGCTTTCAGAGCATAACAGGGATCTTGTTTGTTACCTGAGTCCAGGCAGAGAGAGCTTTGGACTTTTCCTCCATGTGTGAAGTGAATCTGTAAGTGTGACTTTCCCTTTTAATATGAGCATCATAAGACATGAAAAAAGACTCTTACTCTTCTCATATGTTTTTTTTCTCCTCAGTATTGGGGGATCCCTCCCCATTGTGTTTGCCTATTTCTCTGAATTCCTGTCTCGGGAGAAGAGGGGGGAACACCTGAGCTGGCTGTGCATGTTCTGGATGATTGGTGGCATTTTTGCTTCAGCGATGGCTTGGAGCATCATTCCACATTATGGTAATTGCTTTCTACTTTCAGCTTTCGGCAGCAGCACATTCCTGCATCACTACACTACCTCAAGCCCACACATGTAACATTAGTCCCAGCATAAACAACACTGAAAATAATAGATACCTTAAATGCACAGGGCTTGAGGCCTGGTTACACAGACATTCCTAACACAGTAGTGTTGTAATTCATCACTTTAACGTCTTCAAGAATTAACCCAAAACTTACACCAAACTCCTTTTTCTTTTCTACCAGAACAGTTATACAATAGAATTTGTAACAACTTTGAGACTTACAGTATTAGTAGTATTAGTGCTAAAAATGTTAGTAGCGAGGGCAATACATATTCTTTCCCTTAGCCAGATGACAATATTCTTGTGGGTGTGTTTTTGGACACACATGTCTTGGGCATGCAATGTGCTGGGAAGCACATCTGATTTTACCTAATGTGGTTCAGAAGTGGAATGGATTCCCTGTGTAGCGCTGGAAGTGGCAGAGAAACAGTAGACAGGAGGACTCTGAAATATGTGAGTGCCCCGAGGAGCAAAAATCTGCACGTCACATGGACTTCCTGGTAACTCATGTGCATATTCCTAGGAAAATATCAGACAGCAAATATCTACTGGGAAAGATTAATTCCCTCAGTATCCACTGACACCAGCTGTTTGCAGAATCCTGTCAAAGGAAAGTAGGGCAGGCCACGAAGACCCTGAAGAAAAGCACGGAAATCCATCTATCTGTGATCTCTGTTTTAATATGCTTAAAATATATGCAGAATAAAGAAATGTTTATGCTTTTGATCAAAAACACACAGATTATTGGAAAAAATATAAATTTACAGCCTAATGATGTCAGGTTGAAATAATCTTTCATTATCTGCAAATGCATTTGCTTTAAAATGCCTTTAAGGTATAACATTTACATTACCTTTGTGTATTTACATTATACTTATTATCTAGATGGCTTTTGATATTGTGTAACTTGTGTTTTTTGCATTTTGTGTGCTGTAACTTTTCTTTTGGATATCCTGTAGTTCCCTATTGTTTTGAAAATTGGTGAAAAGAGAGCAACACCATGACCAGGGGAAATGAGGCTTTTGCAAAAAGCTTTTTTCTTTCAAATTTTATTTTGTTGTTATGCAAATGAAAATGTTTTTAGGAAAAAGATGAGAGATGAAATATTTCTGCTGATATTTGAGTCTTGGAAAAGTAAACTGAGGAAGAAAAAAGCTTTCTTTTTTCAAGTTTGCATGTGGTGTTTGCTTCTAGCTGCTTTTCAATGTGTTTTAAGGAAGTGTCTGTGTTGGTGCAGGTCCCTAAAGGAGCAGCACGGGAAGTACAATGTCCTTGCTGCTCCATGGCAGGGACTGTCTGACCTTGTGGGGTGGCAGGGAGCAAGCAGGAGACAGGAGAGTCCAAATGCAGGAGCAGGATCTTGATTCTTCTGAGTTTGTAGGTCTGGAAAAAATAATGTTACTTTCCTAGCCTACTCCTACAGAAAAGGAAATACCTGTTTAAGTGTGCACGAGGCTTGCAGGAGCTATCTCTAACATGTCTTTCAGATCAGAGAAGATTTAACCATCACAAACTCTTTATAACATCAGTGGAAAGCAATAAATTATATCCCTGGATCCTATCCCCCTGCCCAGTGTTACTAGTCTGTAGCTGCAAGGAGCTATTTATATTTCTAGATGATTGCTAATCCTAAAGATGAAAGAAGTTTTTGAGACAGATCCTGAGCAAGAATGCATGCTGTTTTCTGTTATGAACATGAACTTGCATGCTATTCTCTGTTGAACATACTATTGAGCCTCTGTAAGAGGTCATTACTAAGTATAGCAAGCTTTCAGCTTGTCCTCCTGTTGTGCAGAGCTATACAATTCAGTTCAGAGCTGCTTTAGAGAGGAAAATCCAAATGCCTGGTCAGTATTTTTACTTTTTGGCTTTTGCTGTTTCCAGGCTGGGGTTTCAGTATGGGAACCAAGTACCACTTCCACAGCTGGAGAGTCTTTGTGCTTGTCTGCTCTCTGCCCTGCCTCGCTTCTCTGGTGGCACTGAAATTCATGCCTGAAAGCCCACGTTTTTTGCTGGAGGTAAGATGATTCATCTGAACATTATAAAAGAGGATGGCTGGTCCTTTTTGTGTCCCTACCTGTCTCTCTTGACCCCATTGAAAACATGTAACAAGTTCAGAACGAAAGCACTCCTCCAAGCCTGCACACACTACCTCTGCACATCACTTAGAGCCTAAAGATACAGACTATGGGGTTAATCAGAAATGGTGAGTGTTTCGCTTCTGAATGCTGTGCAGGAGGAAGGTGGCAAAGGCTGGGGATTTTCCAAGTCCAGCATTTTGAAAATATCTCTCAGAGTTTGAAATTGCAACTAGTGAATCCTGGAAGAAGAGTGAAGAGCAAGCAAAATAAGCAGGATAATATACGTAAACTTCAGAGCTCTGAAGCAACTATTATTTAACCTTGTTTCACAAAAGCTGTCACTACAACAATACCTAATTCATGCTTACCCTGCAGGTCCTTAACAGAGATGAAGTAGAGCTCAGGTCTACTGAAACATCTCCTCTACTCTTGTCTGGACATAACTCTTCATCCCTGATTCCTCTCCTGCCCCAGCTGGTTTTAGAGTAATTCCTTTCTCTTGCCACAGAAATATTGCACTCCCTGTGAATATAATCCATGTTCTCAGCTCTTTGCCCTTATTTCCACTCTATTGGGCCTCCAGTAGTAGTTTGCCTATGTGCTTTAACAAATTCCAAAGCTGAGAATAGCAATGCTTATGCTCACTTTCCTTGGTGTTTCCAGATAGGCAAACATGATGAAGCCTGGATGATCCTCAAACAAGTTCATGACACCAACATGCGGGCCAAGGGTGAGCCAGAGAGGGTGTTTACGGTGAGTTATTGGCAAAGTCACTGGCAGGTAAAAGGAGAAGCTGAATATACGTTGTCTGGTGCAGCACAGCCCCAGTATTATTCCTTTTTCTGGGGGGCTTGAGCATCCCCCTCACAGTGTGACCTCCCTCAGAGATCAGAAAAAGGGCTTGGGGATAATGTTTAAAATCAAATACCAACCTGTTCTTTCAAAAGATGGTCAGTTGTGCTCCATTGTATTGAATAAACTTCCTTCCTGCTGTTAAACTATAGCATGCAAGCCAGGGGTTTTCCAATTACACATGCACCTGATTAGTCTGCTCCAAGAGACTGAAAACAAACAGGAGAGAGATTAGTCATGTGGGAGATCTGAATCACTCCTTACTTCACTCGGGCTTCTAATCAAATTCTGATTAAACTTCATGTACCTCCTAATGAGCTTCCTAAACTCTACCTATCTGCCTCATACCCAGTCTTTAATCTCTCCAAGGGAAAGTGAGTGAGTACTTATTACTCACCAGTTTGCTGCTTGTTGTGAAAAAGGTCACGCCAGGGGTCTAGGTTAGTAATAAAATCATGTAAAAGGTGTGTGCTGAGGTGAGTGGCAAATTACTATAATTCAGTTGTAAACTGTCAGTGAGCCAGACAGGGAATAGTGCTTGATTTATGCTTTCAAAGATGAGAGGACACATGCTCCTGAAGGATGCGGATAAGGGAGGAAAGGAGATATATCTGTGCGTAAAGCAACATGTCTTTTAAGGCAAAGAGAGCAAGTTTCCCTGCACAGAGGAGCTGTCAAGAGACAGGGTCCCTCATGAATGATCCTTCAAGAATATTAAAAAGTAATTCATGTAGATGACTGCTGTGTGAATGTTCGGATAGGAATTTAATGAGTATGTGCTGTTGCTAGGCTGAAGGCCATTCAATTAATATAAACCTTGATGACAAAGGCTACCAAAACCAGCATCTCTCTGAAGTCCTTAACAAGGTTTTCTATAATGTTGGGCCAGGTCTGATTCTGAGCCTGCCATGTCCTTGATGGACCCAACGTGCTGTGCGGGATGAGGGAGGCTGCAAGCTGGGCCACGTTGGCTGTATGTGCACGGGGGACGTGCGTGCTGAGCCGAGTCGCACGTACTCGGCTGGTGGACATGAACAGGCTTTTGAGATGCCTCTCGGGGAGCAGCCTGTGGGCTGCCCGGGAATGGGTGCTGTCATGTCTGTAAGAGGCTGGTTCTGCTTCTAATGCAGGGAGGAGTCGCTTTGAATTCACCTATGCGATTCAAGAACATGTATCTTCAAGTAGGACACCATGAGCATCTGTGCTGGCTGCAGGAATCTGGAAGAGGCTGTGGAGCCCTGGGAGCACCCGTTAGGGCTTGTTACTGCAACCAGTGGGGGCATGACTGCTATGCAATGCACCGATCTTAAATATTGCACCTTAGGAGCTGGGTGTCTGCTGAATCAAGATTTACTGACACGCTTGGCATGGGTGGAGGTTCAGTTTGGCTGGTGTAGTACAAACTGTCAGATTCTGTGTTTTTCTGAGAGGCCAGAATTGCCAATTTGTCGTGAATAAGCTGTTACAAGGACAGTTCCCAGATCTGACATTTAAGTGGTGCCGGCAAGAAGAACACAATGACAGTACAGCCAAGCCAAGCTCATCTTTCCTACTCAGTAATTTATGCAGTAAATTTTCACCGACTTTTTATGTTTACGAACAGATCGTGCCTTCCTTGATTATGTCCTTTATTCAGTAACTCAGCCCATATTCCCTGGGATTCATTTTGAGGCTTCATGAGCAGTCCAGTTAAGTAGCACAGTGTTGCAAATTCAGACTGATGGGAGTCAATTGACTGCATGGTGTGATTTTTATTTTGTTACTGGATGTATTTCAGGTGCAAAGATTCCCATCTTAGAATTTCTTCGTCATGTAGGTTCTGCCAGTGGTATTTAAAATGTGCAAAACTGGGGAATATTCCTTATAGTAGTGTTTGAAGAAAGATCCTGAGGGCATAGTTTCCTGTAGATGCAGCTGGCTAATCATGGAGATGTTTTTTATCATAATTGCAGAGCCCTGATCTCTAATGGAGAATCTAACAGCTACAGAAATCACCTAGTGCACAGACAATAGCCAATAAATGAAAGATTGAAGAGGATATGGTGCATCTGAAATGTTTCGGAGGAGGAGAGATGAAGACAGAGAGAGGAAGGAAGCAGGAAGGAAGGCAGGCAACTTTCTGTAATAAAATCTTTCATTATAATAGGATCAATTAACACACATTCTAGTGATAATATTCAAGGAAAAGATAGAAAGGGATATCCAACGGCAAATATTACCCAGAAGAGAGCAAAGTATAAAATCCACCCAAGATCAACCTGGTAAATTTGTTCCTTTTTTTGTCCCCCCCCGCCACTCTTGTCTTTTCAGGTTTCCTATATCAAAACTCCAAAGCAAGTAGATGAATTTATTGAAATCCAGAGCTCAACAGGTACCTGGTATCAGCGGTGGCTGGTCAGATTCACGACCACTTTCAAGCAGGTGAGAATGAAAACATCTCATGCAGTGCCAAGGAGGTCCTAGACCAACCCTGCCTTCACCACGGTAGCCAAGTTGTGCTAATGGCAGAGCTTTCAGCACGAGACAGAGCTCCAAGCACTTCACTCTTCTGAACAGTTAAATACTGATTCCCTCATACCCAAGCCTAAGTGAATTTACCATCCCCAAGTGGATTCATAAGAGTGCTTGCTCTTTGCTCTTGCTGAGGGTTATACCATCTCTTCACATAATCTAAAATTTCCCACATGCTGTGTAGGTTACCTATGTCCATGAAGAACTTTGTGGATAAATCTTGCTGGATGCTTCTAGTTTCAGAGAATGGACTTAAAGGACAGTCTTAATTATTAGCATGGCAGGTGATGCTACTATGTGTACGTGGCAAGGATAAGAACATGAGGGGTTCTCTCTTCTGGTGCTTTCATCCACCTGGGTTCATCCTACTTTGTCTTAAAGTGTCAGCTATGTTTGGCTTTTTGCACTACGGTTAACAGCCCTGAGACCATACATACATGTGAAAAGATGTTCATATGGTCTGAGAACAGGCTTATATCCACAATTAATTGCCATAAACTGAGGGAGACACTGCATTATCCCAGCCCATCAGTGAAACACACAGTTCTAATCATGCGCTCCAATTCATTACGGAGTGTTCAGATCAAGTACCCTGGGACATAAGCTGAATACACGATCTTTCTGTAAGCCAGGAATCTACCTTGATAAATACAATTTTGAACAAACACCAAATATAAGCCGCATATCTGACTCACCCCAATGAGCCCTTTTTACTGCAAATATTAAATTTATGATGCACTCAAAAATTAATCTTGCAAATCTCTGCTAGGATTTCCTTGCAACTAACTCTTTTTTTATGGATTTGTAGGTCTGGGACAATGTTCTGTATTGTTTAACAGCCCAGTACAGGATGAACACACTGATTCTGGCTGTAGTTTGGTTTACAATGGCCTTAAGGTAAGGTACTTCTCCAACCTTTTCAGGAAACTAGAGTTGTCTGAGGGCTCTCAGAGTTTGAATAATTACTTTGCATGTTTAAATGAACAGTTATGAAATGAATCCTACTCTTATCTTAAAGTCTTTGTGTGTTAAACCTTGCTCTCCTGTGAAATACTGATTTATCTGATTGCTTATACGAGAACAAAATGTGCTCTGGACAGACCAGGACTTGACGGGCAGTTTCTGGTATATACTAGTATGCAGAGTTTGTCATCACTAGATCTTTCATTTGATCCAGTCCACATGTCTTGTATCTCCAAAAATCTAAATGTGTTTCAGCTACCCAAGAGGTTAAGCCTCATTCTTGCAGAAATCTGAAGTTCAAGGGGAACTCCCATAGGTTCTGCAGCTCTGTATGTTTCCTGGGGAGCAAGTATAGCGCCCTGCTGTATTTCCCAGTCAGGGAAGGAGCCAATGTCAGTGAAAACTAGATGGAGTTGTCCTGCATTAGGTTAACCAAAATGGATCAATGAGCTTCTTAAACAGCTAACTGCTCTGTCATACAGTTCTTACATTAGAGAAACATATTAATTAGCGCTGTGTCAGAGCTGAGCCAGAATTTGCATCAGAAATGCATTTCCCTTAGGAACCTGACAGGTTTACATGTTATGCAGTAGATCCTGGGAAAAGCACTGCGACGTTTGTGCAGGATCTTGTTTGCCTAACGTGTTCCTTCCATCTGGCTGCAGTTACTATGGCCTTATCGTCTGGTTCCCTGACATGATTCGCTATCTCCAAGAAGAGGCGTATGAATCCCGTGTGAAAATCTTTGAAGAGGAAGAAGTGTCACACTTCACCTTTAATTTCACCCTGGAAAACCAAATCCACAGAAATGGGGAGTATAAGAATGACAAGTAAGTGAATAGAACTTGGCTTGATTAGTACTGGAGTAGAGATGACACATTTGAATAAGTAACTAGTTTCAAAGGAAGTAAAATACATTTCTAGGAAACTTTCACTTGCCACAAAACTGAGGATCTTGATTGTTCTTTTAAACACACAGTCTATAACTCAAATCTCAGTAGTAGTTTTTCACAGACCAAATATTATTTTTGTCCTTATTTTCACACCTTCCTCTGCAACCTGAACCTTCAGACCTAAGGAAATGTATATGAGAAGCTTTTGCAGAGCCCAGCTCTCAGTAGACCCTCTTGGCAACTGCCTGCTGAGAGCAGTGGTTGGGGAATGGGTGCATGCCTGGATATGAACGTCTCTGGATGCAAAAGTGGCTTCTCTTTCCTTCGGGTGCATGCCTGGATATGTTGAACATCTTTGGATGCAAAAGTGGCTTCTCTTTCCTTGGGATACACTGACATCTACTGGTTTTGGACAGCAGAGACCATCTCCTGTAGCAAAGCTGCTGCTTCTGCTTTCTGAAGTCAGAAGTTTTTGGCTTAGAATACTTCAGACAACCTACCCCATTCTGCACTCTCAATGCAGGTTGTGTCATGGCCCTCAGCTCTACTGGTGTGATTCTCCCACAACTAGATCTGCCTCTGCCTGCTGTTTCACCTTCTCTTTTACTGCTTTGAAGGAAATGATGTTATTCTAGCAGGTCATTGTTTTTGTCCCCTTATCCTCTTTATTCTGGACCTGCACAACTGCTCTGAGCTCCACACAGTAGAAGTCCTGGTGATGTGTAGCAGACAATTTGTGCTTTTCTAAATCCCAAGGTAATGATAGAAATTTACTTCTATTTAAGCTCCATGGAGATCCCATAGCTCCCAATAGACTAAACATCATGTTACTCAAGCTCTCTTGTGGCTGTATGGGGAAGTCCCACTGGATGTTCAGTGTTATACAACCTGCTTGTGGTTTTGCTCTTCACAGCTGAAGCCAGACCCCAATGCCTACCCGGGCTGTTCTTTTTACCTTAGGAACTGCTTATCTACTTTTTCGATGTATATCAGATGGAGATTGATAAAGGTCTCCCATATCCTGACAGAAACCTTCCCTGGAGTAAGGAGCTGTCCTTGATTGTCCAAACCTAGGGCCATAAGTTCTACTTCCCTATATATGGAGCAGTTAAAAGCACGATGAGATATGGATTTATGGACCAAGGACCCTTGTCTTGCACCCAGATGAAGTGCTTAGATTTTACTACCTTCCTTGAGAGAGTGGACGGTCAGCACAATATGGGATAGAAACCTAAAATTTTCCTCTATGTTTCTATACTTCATCTGCCCTCTCCAATAACTCAAAACCTGATCAAGCTACATTCTAGTCATCCTTAGCACATACCTCATTATGATTTACAGCTCCATGTCCCCCCCCGCCCCCAGCCATTGACTGTGAGTTAAACACTCAAGACATTGCTATGTAACTTTCTCATAGACTCATCTTAAGAAAGAAAATAATAGGGCTTTTAGCAGCCTTTAAGAGTAAATATATTACAGGCTATTCCTGAGCAAATGTCTGATCATCTTAAGTTTTGCTGTAACTTGAGAGACCTTCTAGATGGAGCAAGACTTAAGCAGCCTTCATGTTTCATTTGGGACACTAATATCTGTTAGAAGCTAGTGTTTGTATCATGGTGTAAATACTCATCACTCTGGACTTCTGAAAATGCTTTTTTCATTTAAATTTCTGAGTATATGTTAGAAGCCTTTCTGTTTGATGACAAACAGTTGTGGCCTCCTTGTCTTACAGAGCAATAAGACATGCACTTAATAGCTTTTCATATCTTCAAAACATGCCTGTGAATTGACTAATACATCTTCCCAGCATCCCTACAAAATCTCACTGGTAAATCAATTTTGGGTCATACTTCAGGCAGGCAGGGAAGAAATGTCAGGTTTCCCATCCAAGAAGAAATCAATCTCCTGGCGTCAATGATTACTCTTAGCATGATTTATTTTCTTTACATTACATGCAGTCCTTGAACAGAGATGGGTACAAGTGGTACACAGATTATCTCCCCGCTTCCTCCAGAAGTCGTCATGCATTTTTGCTTCTAGTTTGAGCAACTGTCAGAAGCTTTTCACCAAATGGCTCAATAGACAGCTGATAACGACTGTTTTTATTTATGCTTGAGGAAGGGGCAGGATATGGAAGATAGCAAGGTCAGCTCACAACGAGAATGTCATGCACTGAGCAAAATGATGTTGTCTTCACATGGATTAGTACCCAGGGGATTTGTGTCCCCTCTGCCTCATTTTTTCAGCAGCATTTTTTCTTTGTTGTGACTATCTTGAGGAATGGAAAAGCTGCCAGAAATTCTGGAGGCTCCACATCTCTTTAAAAACTTATTTAAACTCATCTCTCCTAATAAAATATGAAATATATAAGCACTAGAGTGGCATTTGCAGGGAGAATACAGTTATGCATTCAAGCCACACCTTTTCTGTAAATGGCTTTAGGAATTGTCCTTACTGCCTTTTCTCTTGAAATGGCCATTGCACGCTAATATTATATAGAAATAGTTCAAAGCACAGAATGAAACTGTTTTCTGCCCCACAGATTTATTGGCATGAAATTCAAGGAAGTGAGATTTGAGGACTCCTTGTTTGAGGATTGCTATTTTGAAGATGTGACATCCAGTGAGACCTTCTTTGAAAACTGCACCATTGTGTCCACTGTATTTTATAACACAGGTAAAGACATTCCTAATAGGGTCTATTCTCTATGATTATGAAGTATTATATCAGACTTGGGAGAAGGGCTGATAGAAATCCTTGTGTTTGTGTATGTTGTGGGTAATGACAGTGACAACAGAAAAACGAGGGTGGAGGGACCAGATGCTGTCTTAGCTTTATGGCTATTTGGTTTTTGGAAGAAAGTCATGACTTATAGCACGGCCAGACATCTTTTTTTTTCCCCACAAACTGAGCTTAATTGTCTATAGAGGCTTGAGTCTGTCAAAAAATTTCTTGCTACCACTGTTGTCCCACAGGTTGAGGCTGTTCTCTTTTATTGCTTAGGTTCTGATTATTGCTTAATTCCATGCTTCCAACAATGATTTGAAAGGAGGTTTCAAGCTGCTCCATCAGTGTTTTTAACCACATGGTTTCTGATGTTATTTGTTGCTGCAGGGAAAGTGCAGAAAACTGCTCTCAGACTTTGGCAGGTTTTTAAAGCCATGGCAAAATGCCCAGCAGTTTACTAGCTCTCAATTCAACAAATTTGGCTTAAAACCCAATTTTTGTTTTGCTCTTTAGTTCATATCCAACCTCTGGTTGATGATTCTAAGCAATAAAATATTCATTAATTTATCCTGAAAATCCTTTTCCTGTCTCCTCTGGCAGAGGACAAAATGTGTGTACCATGACAGTGACATCTTGCAGTGCCCCAGTCCTTGTGTGATGGGGATACTGGTCCAGGCAATTCCACAAACATAAGGAAGAGCCTGAGCTTATGCCCAGGGGATGCACATAGCGCATGGCTGTAGTTTGCCCCTTAAATGCCAACTAGAAAAAGCCATTTCCATTTGATGGAGACTACCTCTCAGATTTCAATTTGCTTTTGATCCTGATTCCTGTTGCTGCAATGTGAAGGAATATGAGTCAAGTAGGACCAAATCTCTGGGAGGATCAAGATGATTGGTGAGTTGGGATGGCAGGTGCATGGCATGATTCCTGAGTATGAGCAAAAAGTCAAGGTCAGTGTGAAAATCTCTTTGGATCTACATGTATTTTTGCAAATGGAGCAGACTCAGATAGAGAGGAGTCATTCCCACAGCAGATGGAGCAGAAAGGTAAAATGTCCCAAGGGTAAAGCATCAGGCAGCAGCTGAGCACAACTTGGGTCTGTTTCTGCAAGCAGTCTACTCTGTGGCACTGGGCAAGTTATCTGCTTCTCCCATACCCTTTTTCTGTGCATCTGTGTTATCTTACCTTTTTTCCCTTTTGACCCTTATGCACAAGACCATGTTTTATCCAGAGTTTAACATGACAGACTTTGAGCTGATGTGGGACTTTTTGGTGCTGCTGGGTTAGTGTTGATGTCCATAATATTCAACATCCAAATAAATGTAGGAACTTTGCTTGTAGCAATGAATATTTATGAAGATTATTTCCCATATGAAATGCAAACAGCTTGAGGGATGGTGTAGTAGATTGAATGACCGCATTACAGCTTAGAGGTAGAGCCACGCTTCTGTCTTACCTCATAAACTTCAGGATTACTTCTGGTGGTCTTTCGTCCAAGGTTCAAACCTTGCTTTCTAGGCACAGTGGGGATCTTGCCTTGGGAGACAGACAAGTTAATTTCATACAGTGAGGAATAATGTGGTGAAGGTGTGAAGAATGAATGACTCTCTTGAGCTCACCTGTCCCTCTCTTCTAATAGTTTAATTAACTTAGCCTGATGACCTCATTGTGGGATGAAAAGGCGAGCAAGATGAGCCATGTCCACTATGGGGGAAAAAATAAGGTTCATGTAATGAATTTGGAAAAGACACAGGAAAAGAAAAAGCAGATGGTCTACGAGAGGGGGAAAAACTGAATGAGAATCAGATTATCCACCCAGCAAACATATCAACATTTGAATATTTTCATTTGAAATTGAGATGATAGCTAAAATCCCAAATGCTCCTTCTGTGGGATAAAAAGTACATGACAAAAATTGCTGAAGACATGAAGGAACGTTCCACTGTGGAATTCTTAATTGACACAAAGCTTTCTGGCATGCCACCCATATCAGGCTGCTGAACACATTATTTCTGGTCAGCTTAACGTGAAAACTGATTTTCTCTTTTGTGGTATGTGCTTCACTGGGACTTGGGTTCAGGTTTCTCATGTTCCATTAAACCATCTCCTGTGACAAATGTCAGATCTGCTGGTGTATGTCCTGCAATTCTCCTTTGTGCCTCTTAAACAGAAAACCCAGTGCAGGATATAGTTTGGCCAGGTAATACAGAGAAGGGGAAAATAAGGAGTCCTGGATGGCAGCTTTCCATAGACTGTGCACTGCAGAGCTAAAATGAAGCACTTTTGTCCCAGGTTAACATTCAAATTATTTTGGTCTGTGTCAAGTTAATTCAAAAATCAAACAAATAAGCAAATGAAAATACTTCAGCAACTGCACAACTTTACAGTGAAAGATATTTTGAATTTGCAAAAATTGCACTTTTACCTTGCAGATGAAAATTTCCAGCTGGGGGGGGAAAGTAGTAGATGAAGCCACTAGTATATCTGAGTCTGAATTGTGGCTAACTGAGCATAAGCATTTTCTCCCTCAATCATATTCATAAAATTATGGCTCCTGTACAAATGTGCCATGAAATCTAATGATGTTCTTATAATTGAAAGAGACTTCAAGTGCTTTATACAATTGCCTGTAAATTATCCTAATTGAAACTAGAAATGTGTCAAGTGATTTGAATATGATATGAATTGCAGTTCCTCACTCAAAACTCAAGTAGAAAAACCTTCACATGCTTCTTCCTTGAAAGGCTTTCGTGTTTATTTGTCTCTGCTCTTTCTGGGTCCATCTGGAAGTCTATGATGCTGGAAACCTGCCTGGAAAAGCCTATCTTCAGAGTCTCTATTAAGCAGAGATCAGATGGTCAGACGGATTGAGAACATTTTCAGGCTGGTTTCCAACATCAGAGAATGACAGATAGAGAGCATAAAGGTATTTGGGTTTTTTTGAAGATTTTATTCATTTTGGAGGTAAAACATTGCCACTTGGAGGTTGTCTTTATCAGTGGGGAGGTTGACATGGATTGAGGAAATGGATAACTGCTTTTTTTTTTTCCTTGGCTCCCTGCTGTAGGTGGCTCGATGCTGATCTCTGCAGTGTGCTGCTTCTTTCTCTTTTTTGGCAACAGCGAGTCAGCAATGATTGGCTGGCAGTGCCTGTTTTGTGGGGCCAGCATTGCTGCCTGGAATGCCCTGGATGTGATCACCGTTGAGCTCTATCCCACCAACAAAAGGTACTAAGCGTATCCTTACTTTTCAGTCCTTACTCTCTGGCTTTGATCTTCCACTTCCTAGCAGAAAGGGGTAAGATAACTTATATACAGGAGGTGTTTTTTTTGAAACAAATCCTTAAGGGCTGGGTAGTGCCGTAGCTGGACTTGATCAGGACTGACTTTTGCAAGCGTAAATCTCAGTGCAAGGTAGTTTGTACTTAGGAATTTATGTGTGTATATGTAAATTATGGGCAGATAAAATACAAGCAATCTGTCATTTCCACAAAGATATGTGGAAATTTGACCCTCCAGAGTACATTTCCCAGCCTCTTGGCATAGCTCATCACTGTGACAGCCTTCCCCTCCATATCCTGGGGACAACCACATGCGCAAAATGCTTTAGGAGAAGAGGCAGTGCAGAAACCTTTGAGAACAGATAAGATCCTTTCTGGCAACTTCATTAGGAGACATTTCTGCCTTTTTCAGGGGAGAGCCAGGAGGCCGCATGCTTTCGGCTGGTGGGTGAAGCCGGGTTTGGAGAAGTGCCCAGGTTGTTTCTCTGATGACAACCCACTCTAACCAGTTCCTGGAAGGGCTTTGACAAGTTCCAGAGCAGGTTGCATCCTGCTTTCTTTGTGGAGGAAAAAAGCTGTCATAGTGGGCAAGTCAAGGGAGACTAGGGAGATAAAAAGGAAAAACAAGTACAAGCAGACATTCCTCTCATTCACACAGACATGAAAAACAGATATATTTAGTTATTCTAGATGATTTTGTTTGCTAGGAGTGTAGGCTGAACAATATAAGAGCATTCACAAAATAACCTGCTGAAATCTCCTGTAATTATGCCAAGAAGCTCATTCCTAACCAGTGCTTTTTGCTTTTCTCCTCCACAGAGCAACAGCTTTTGGCATCCTCAATGGGCTTTGCAAGTTTGGTGCCATTCTGGGGAACTCGATCTTTGCCTCCTTTGTTGGGATAACCAAGGTGGTTCCCATTCTTCTGGCTTCCTCTGCTCTGGTTGGAGGTGGCCTGCTAGCTTTGCGCCTACCAGAGACTCGAGACCAGGTCCTCATGTGAGCAGCTGAGGCCAGCGGGACAAGGCGGGTAAAGGAGAAGAACAACAAAAAAGAGCCATGTTTAGGAAAATCAAAATGTCCAATTGTACAGTGCTCTGCTGATACCTCAAAGAGAGAGCAGGGGAAAAGAAGAACGCAGAAGGATAAAACCTAACCCCTAATATCTGACCCTTTTCGAGCTGCGATGGGTGCATGCAGCTAGGGCACGCGCATTGCGGAGCTTGGCTGTTCGTGTTTAATCTTGCCTACACTGGGAAGTACTTCTGTCTTTCCCCTCTCTATCCCAGTGTGATGACAGAGGATGTGAGCAGCTTTGTGCACTTGTGGGTGCGAGTGTGCCTGGTGAGAGAACAGATCCTGGCGCCCGCACGTCTTTGCCGAGACATGAGATGCTGCCTGCCTTGCCAGCCTCTCCCTGGCACTTTGTCAAGCCATGCTTGGTCCCAAACGGCAGAATGGGAGGCAGTGAACAAACCAACTCTAGCTGAGACCCAGCAACAGGGACAAGAGCTCCAAATAGCTCTTGCAGCACTTTAGGTTACTATCTGAGCCCACCAGAAGAAAGAGTTCTAGAGGATGTGTGTTCAGCTCTCAGAATAAGCCAGGTCTCAAAGAGCTTTCTTTTTTGTCTTCACTTGGGCATGCAGAATCACTAGGCACTTTCCAGGTCTAGGAGAGAGATATATACATAATTTTATATATGTGTATTTACACATACTTGCATACATATACACACTGTAGTGATCAGCCATTGGAATATGTAATTTTTCATTTTGGCATCTTTAAAAAGACCTTAAAAGAGCCACTAAAAACTAATCTCGCTAAACCAAGATTATCTGGAGTGATGACCAACTTAGGGGCACATCATTCTTCACAGCCAGACACCAAATATATAACTGTATTGATCACTGGGAGTTTATATTTCTATGGTGGTTAAGATTTTTTTTCCTACCAACTTTCATGGAGGAGAAATGATGTTGGAGCATTCAGCAAACCAAATGTGTACATATTATCTAGTGTAAATAGGGGACATTTTGTCTAATATCTAGAATAAGCTAACTAAAAATTTACCAGCATTTTAGCCATATTAGTTAAAGGATATGATATTCGATTTTCTTATATATTTGGGTCTCGATGAAACACTCTAAGCACAGTTAACTTACAGCCATTTAACTTGTTATGTAGGGAATGCACATGGCAAGCTTTCACTGTATAGAACTTTGCATCTCTATTAAGTATGATAGTTAAGTTTGATATCCTGTAAAGATCATTTTAAAAATTATATGGCCTTTTTATCATATGATTTCAGTTCTTGCACCTAGAAGCCAAATGAATCATGCATTTTTGATACATTTTATTGGAAAGCAAGAACAGCATGCATACTATTTAATACAATATCAATGCTTACAATTGCCCAGATAATTGTAACTATACCCTCCTAGCAAAGTCAGTGATAGACTAGAATTGACCAGAAACTGTCATATAATGCAGAGGATTTATCTCACAGATTTTTTGAGACATGAAAAGGTTTAGACCTTTTCATGTGATTTTCTAAGATCTCCACCTTTTCATGTGATTTTCTAAGATCTCCTAGACCTTTGCTAGTGATCTTCTAAGACTGAAATGCTGCAGGGCTGAATCCTAACAGCTGCCTTTAGCTGCACAGAGACAGTAAAATATACCCTAATTCATACTAGGGTCAGCCTCAGACAGCTGTGGAAGTTGGTCTCAGCACCACTGTGGAGGACAGAAAGGTAGAGAGCCGTTAGATCACAAGAAGCAAGTCTTCTCCAATGACACGAACTCCCTAGTAAGCATTACTCTTATACCATCACATCCATCAGTGATAAGCAGTCACAGAACTGCTAAGTTACAATAGGCCATTTGGGATTTTGGAGGTTTATGGAATTGCTAAAGTCATGAGCTCTTGTAATAACTAGGCTTATTATGCCTCATTTAATCATTTTATGGGTAACTTAAGGATTTATTTGATTTGCCTGCAAAACAGTGAGGTTTTTTTCTCTAAGGTAGGAGTAAGTACAATTATGTCCTCTCTGTCTGGCAGCAGTCCACAGCTGTTGAGAATCACATCCCAGAATATATGTGTTTTTTCTCAAAGAATGTCTGGTCTTTTGAATGGTGAGAAGCAGCTAAATATTTCAATACTACAGAGATCATCACGGTCTTGATGTTTCTGTTGGGCTGCTCATGGCAGTTACCACATGTAGTGGAGGGGGAAAAATAGTTGCTTGTTTCATCTCCTAGATTATTGTGGCATGCTGCTCTGTGATGCCATAACTCGTCCTTATTTTAGTAATTGCTCTTAGTTGGGTATGCACCCCGTGCTGAGGCAGCACACCTGACTATTTGTGTTTTCCGGTGACACTGTACAACGACTCTAATGGCATTCTTTATTTTGCATATTTCAAAATTAATTTTCTGAGATGGGTGAAACTGAGGTTTTAAGGAGAGAGAAATGATAAGGTAATATTAGGAAAGGCTAACCCAAACTTATGCACCTTTCTTCTCTGCAGAATCATTCTTTCACAGAGTCTGGTTCAGTAAACTTCATATTCAGAAGCTTAGCTGGGACAAGGTAAAGAATAATAAGAATTTCCTCTCTTTGTCACCCTGGTTACCCCCATGAATAAATAGACTGTTTGCACCTCTAAAAATGCATGGTTCAAGGGTGGCAGAGAATGTTATCTTGATAATGCTCCTATCCCTGATATTTGACTAGTGATTTCATGACCAAATTCAAAACGCAAATACACATTGCAGCTGATAGCAGAAAAATCTAATAAAAAAATCAGAGAAGGCAGAACAGAAAATTTAAGGGTAAATTGTAACCTACCCTAGGCACTTAAAATTTAGACAGATGTCTGAATCTGAACTAGTCACCCTGGATTCCCCTTGTGGTTAGTGGAAAGAAAAAGCCAATCCATGACTTCTCTCAGAAACCATGCCTGGAAGGAGGTAGGTTGCCCTAGATGTCCCTTTTCCTATCCTTTGTTAACAGAAATATCCAGGATAACTCAGGCTCACACATTTACCTTTGTGATATTTGTGCTACGGGTGATAATTTCTGCTCACCTTCAGTGTAAGCAAGATGTGGCCAGTACCCCAAACGTGTGCTTGTTGTCCTGCAATGATCCAGATCTGTTTAGGTCTCACACTACTCGAGAACAAAATGTTGGGGGCAGTCCCTTGAGCCCTGACGGTGTTTTGTGTGTGAACTGAGCCCAAGCTGCAGAGTCCCAAGCACTGCACAGGACATTTCTCATTGGGCACCACCTTGGTGACAAATAAGCACTACACCTGCCCTGCAAGGAGTGGCAATGCCCAATGGTTCCCCTGTCTACTTTTGCTGCAGTGAACAGTTTGAACAGTTTTCTTGTCTTGGAGGTCTGATATAATAGATCATCCACAGAGAAGAGGAAAACTCTTGTCAGTCAAAGGTCCACTTCACTGACGAGGCCAGCAGAGCACTATTTCCTTGGATTCATAAATACTATGGTAAGAATATCTCAAAGGATGAAGACAAAGACCTGCCTTAAACCTCAAAGATCTCTTCTAGAGAGCAGCTGGACTTCATTCATCCATGGCACATCTGTCCTGCTACTCTGACAGGGACTTTGGGACAGGGAAAAGATGTCTTTGCATCTTTACAAGTACAGATTTATAGGGAGTCACAGGAGCAGTGTGATACTGGGATTCCAAGCATGCAGAAACAGCTATTGGAGGAAAGGAAAGCGTCGTTGTTGTTATAAAAGACCCAATGTATTATGACAAGAGTTCTGCCTCTGTATTCCCTGTGAGTTTGACTGGTTTTTGCATCCCCATTCAGGACTGCTTTTGCTATCGCATTTGGTTCTGCTGTGGCCTCCTGGTATTGCAGAATGGGGTTGGGTGGGAGACCTCCTCCATGAACACTTGATCCTTGACCCCTTGAAATGCTGTGCAGTTTATACATGGTGGTGTATGGAGCTCAGAGACTAGGAAAAGGTCATTATTGGGAATTATGAGTCCAGAGCCCAACATTCTCCCCTCTGAGGAGATATCACTCAGTGACACCAGAGAGGTGTCTCCCTCATTCTTGGGAGAATCCTTATCCCAAGGAGGGGCTCAGGGACTGGCACAGAGCCCGATCACACAAGAGCTGAGCTTTCTGCAGATGGGAAGGTTCCTTCTAGGTCCCGCTTTAAGACTTTCAGCAACATCATTTACTCTCAGTGATAATGATGTTCCAGGTCCATTTATGACTCAGTTTATGTCCTTTGACTCTTCAAAGGACACACAAAACCTGAGACCATCTTTTTACATTTATGTATATTTGAGACTCATACATTACATTACCACCAAATTTCTCCCTCTGTTTTTCACCCTCGTTTTAGCAAATGCTGCTTTTAGAAAGAATCAAGCCAGGAAACCGAAGGAAAATAAACAAAAGAAAATTCTTTGCTGTATGTAATGCTTACACTGTCTAAATGTGTTCATGTTGTAAGTTCCACTGTAAATAATACTGAGTTTTGTGCATTAATTAAATGTTTCATTTAGGTGTTAGGCTGGCTGTGTGTGTGAAATAGTTCCAATTCCTTGTTTTTTTTTTTTTTTTCATTTGAAACCTTTTTATTTTCTTTTGATTTAATCTGTGTCTGGTTGTCGCTGGAAAGTGCAGCTGTTTCAATGGATTTTGTTTTTGTTCTGTCCATCACATTAAAACGCTGGAAGAAAAAAGACTGCTGCTTGTAGTGTTCATGTTTTAATGTGCACTTTGAGTTCTTTTACATGGGCTGTGACCAGTGACTTTGAGCTTTGCCAACATGGAGATGTCCTCTGATGTTTGCTATAGGTACGGCCTTGCACTCTCAAACAATCCCACCTTGGTTAAGTGTCCTTGTCACCACAGTTTTATCACACTGTTTATTTCCTAATATACACCATGAGAAATTCTACAGCCCGAAAGAGAAAGCATGGAATATTTTTAAATCCCAGATAAAACCAGAGCGCCAAACTCTGCCTTGCAACAAGAATATGTCCAATAAATAACTTTTCTTGTTGTAGCTTGGTGCACCATTTGACCAGAACATCTATCCTCATCTAGATGTTTTTCTGCGTGCGTGTGTGCTTTCCTCATTTGCAAATCAGTGTACAAATCCAGCTTTCTACTTCATACTTTTGGAGCAGGATGCTTCAGACTTGTGTGACATAAATTGAGTGGGAAAAGAGCTTGTGGTGCAAACGGTGGAGGGCAGTTTGGCAGATATCTAGGCTGACCTCTGAGGTTTAAGCATGAATTTCAACTTCACATGTTCCATAAAATGCACTGTTCTTTCTTGACGCTAACTCACTGAAAGCCAGCATGGTTTCAACTCTGATTAAACTCTGGCTCACTGGTAAGACATGTAGTTGGAACAAGGTTGTTAATTCTGTCAGTGTTTAGTCTCCTCTTCACAGGCACTGCATATGTGAAACACTAAGGGTGGTATTCAAGCCAGATATAAGGAATCATAACATATTGGAAATGTAATAGAAGAATCACAATGGTAACTGAGGCATCAGGAGACTGAATTTGAGAGTCTTCCTGGGCTTTGATCCAGTCAGGTCCCATGGGACCCATCCGAGCTTCAGTCTCAGCAGGTGAGGAAAATCCAGCAGCAATCTGGGGGAACTGGAGGGGACTGATCTCAGGGGGAAACTGCTTGTCATGTATTTTACAACAGACATTTCTGACTGCAGAGAACAGAGTACACAGACAACAGTTCATAAGCCCCTTGTGCGCATCCTGCTTTTATACAACCACTAATAAAAGTCATTTGCTTAGAAAGGTGGGATTTTAAACAAAGGTCAGAAAGATTTTCATGAAAGCCCTGCAGGTGTTTTCAATTGGTCCTTACTTCAGGCTAGCTGATGTTTTGTATAAGGCTGAAGTCTTGGTAAGTAAGAAAATTCCACATTTGCAGATTTTTTTTTTTGACAGGAGCTGTACATAGGGGGAAAAAAAAATCATTTTAAGGTAAGGCTTAGGGAGTTTAAGAATGGGATTGCATGACATGGATGCCTGAAAACGCATGGGATAGACAATCAGAAAGTCCCTTCTAGATCTATGTTCCGTTTTGACTATACCTATATATATATACATATAAATGCATGGGCATTTACACATCCAGCTACACTTCCATGAAGCAGCTTTCTGTTTTGGGTCTTGAATTCACCCTCAGTAGAGCCAGGAGATGGCAGCAGTTACAAATAGAAAGAACCGCTGCCTCTGCGCATTTGCACTTGTCCTGCTGTTTGAACATGGCAGAGCCAGGGCAGGACCTTCTACTAGGCACAGTGCCATGAAGCTGCAGATCAAAGGCATGGGTTTTTGCACCTTTGGGAGTCTGGCCCCTAAAAGTAGGAAGGAACTAAAGGAGCTAGAAACAGTGCTGATGAGAAAGATTAGAAAGTGAATGGAAACACTGCTGTTCACTGCAAGGGTTTTGAAACAGAGTTGTGCAAATTTTGAAGCAAAGTGAATGCAATTATGGTGAGGGAGATAAGAGGCATTCTGTTTCAGTAATCTAGTTCAATGTTTTTCAAACTTTCCTGACTTGCAACTCTTAAGTGTTTTGCAGTGGAGATGCAAATTACTTGTCAAAATATGTCTGGGATGCCAGTTAGAGAAGAAAAGCTCTGTGTTGGACAATGCTCTAAAAAAAAGGGATCTTGGAACAGGTCAGCATCAGCAGTGACTCCCAGGAAAGCCTGCCGAGGTGCTGCCATGGATGCTCTGGCTAGACCAGCTCTAACTGTGGCTAGATGTCACCAGTGCTGCCTCACTGGTTCCTCCTTCTCCAGCCTCTGGTACAGCTATAGGTGCCTCTAGTGCCCTTGAGCAATGTGTCTGAAATCACGGGCCCCATTCTGACACTTATGATGCAAGAAGAGAAGGTTTTCTCCTTGGTCTCGTGCACTCCCACTCTGTCTAGCAGAGCTTTGCATTGACGGTATCTCTCTGAGAGCCAGAACACAACGTTTCCCTGAAAAGCTTCTGCTTCACTGCAGGAAACAAATACAAAAAGTGATGCAATAAATACAGACGTAATTATAAGGAGAACAAAGTCAGTTCTCTGCTGGTTTCATTCCTCTATTTTGTAACCCTAGCAAAATAAAGAGAATTATGCCCAGGATTAAATATTTTTCACAAGGTCTCAGCCACTCTGTAGCAGACTGCCTCAGGCAGGAGAGCAGCTGGAGCAGGCTCTGAGGTGGCTGAAGGATTTCAGAAGAGGCCGATGATATTTCTCTAGAGGGAGCTCTTTCTTAGCTTTTAAATCTTTTGCTTCAAATGGGGAAGAGAATATTGTTCTTGGCCTTTCAAAACATATCTTTGAACAATAAATTCAGCACTTTTATTCTGTCTTATTGAAAGTTCACAATAAGCAGAATGGAAGAGCTTTGAAAACTTCCCAGCAGCACTCTTCCTTCTCTTAACCTTCTTAGCAACAAACTGCTCCACAAAAATCAACCACATACTGAGCTGCTAAGTCTATAAATGTTTCAGAACAACTTTTTTTTTTTTTTTTTCCCCAGCCCTACTTATCCAAAGAGATCACAGACAGCGCCCAGTTCTGGCTCAGACCAGCTATAGGACCCTGGTTGAGTCACTGTCTCCTTTCTTCGTCCCATCTGTAAGAGGTGAAGAAACACCTGTGTGCTTTTCCCTGCATGGTAGTAGATCTCTTGCCATGTATGTCGTTACTGCTTGGCATATTTGATATTGTTGCAGTAAGTGCATGGGAAACCTTTTTAGACAGTTTTTTGTAGGATTTGGTGTGCCAGTTACAATTTAATGTTTTGATGCTCTGATACTTGGCTGGAATTAATCTCTGGAATTTCAACATCTCCCTCTCCCAGATCAGTTATAGCAGCTTTCTCTTTTATGTGGTGCCAATTTGACTCAGCGTAACCAATTTCCCTATCTCTTTAGGTTAATGGTCATTAGAAAACTTGAGGGTGCACGGAACTATTAAGGAGAAAAAATGAGTAACTTTGGGTGAATGCTGCATCCAACTCCTCTGACAGAGGCTCTGCATCTTTCCACTTTTCATTTACTTACGGAGTTTCCTTCATCTGCCTCGTCAGACGCTAAGTAGGTGCTCGATGCCCTTGGGCCCAGACTTCCCCCTACCTCCTCAGTCGCTCTCCCCTTCTCTCAGACAACCTGGCACAGCGTATAGTGCTGTGCCTTACTGTAACTAGTTCTAGCATGGCCATCTTTGTGCTAGACAGACTTGGGAAGAGGCCTCATTTTCAGATCTTTAATATCTGGAATTATTCTAAAGGCTGATATACCCCACCGGCAATAATGGCTCCTTGCAAATGTGACTTTGTGTACTCCATGATCACAGATGGACACATAATGTTGTTGTCAGGGAAGGCAGGGCTTGTGATAAGGGCTACCATGTCTGTCCCATCTACTGTGCAGATATCCACATGTAGATCACTGCTTAATAGCAAAGGAAAGATTCTTCATGTCTATATGATCAGAGGAGCTCTTGTTGGTTAGGTGTATTCCTATATAATGATCAAAGTGATTGTAACATTCCAATATCTACTGGGGAGGAAAAGTTGCCTCAGATGTAGACTTTGGAGAGAAGATTTCAAAAAGGAGAAGGAATCCATAAATGATGCAGGAAAGCATTATAAAAAGAATCAAACAGAAAAATCCAGGCTCTAAGTCATTTTCTGGTCATTATCTGATCTTCCCATCGGAGCTTTTGCAGTTTTTGCTTCTCATGGTCATTCCATTTTAAACCCTGGAAGAAATTATTGTGTGGAAATTTTGACATCACACCCAGCTCCATGGCAACACATAGACAGTCTAAACAGACTAATGGTGCTTGTCTCATATTGCTCCATAAACAGCACTGTGTGATAAACCTCTTAAACTCTCTGAGGGAGACAAACTGGGAAGTTGCTATCAACTGTTTCATGGATACATCGTGTCACAGACAGGTTGAAAGACTTGGCGAAGCTCACAATGAGTTTGTAGGGGGAACTCAGCCTTTTGCTGGAAATCATGTTCACATGAGGAGAATGTTTTGACAAAGGAGTCAATTTATTGACAGAAGGAATGGTTTTAGCACTGACTTCACTCAATCCCTAACTGAGGGGAGATTCAAAGAATGAATGACCCAGGATACGTCAATACCTTCTCTCTATTGCCCTTCCTTTTTTAAGGCAGGCGTAATACCCAGAGTCAGGTTTGCTGAAGAAGTTTAATTTGATGTTGTCTGTTGACCTGTTGATTTCTGTGGAGATGTTTCACATTATAGCAAATCTGGGAAAATAGCATCTCTCTCTTTTTCTTTCTCTCCATTTTATTTCTT